TGTGTGTGTGTGTGTGTGAGAGTGTGTGTGTGTGTGTGTGAGTGTATGTGTGAATGCATTAGATGGAATGTGTACATCATAGTGAATGAATCATTACAGTAGTACTTTATGGAATGTAAAAGAAAACTGACAGAATTGCTGTAGTAAAGGCTTTACTGACAAAATAAAATTTCTGTCAGTGATCATAAAAAAATATATATTTTGCCTTTTGCCCCCTACCTCTCCGTCTCCCTTGTCAAAATGTCATAAAGTCAGAAAGAGGATTATTAGCAAATATGTTTTCACACACAAGGAATTTGACTTCCAGTGCAGAAGAAAGTACGGACATAGTGCAAACATACACGATAGTGCAGGCATAGGACTATAGGCAATGCACTATATACACAATGAGGAAAAATAGAGGAAAAAACTTAATTGTTTAAATGAATGTACAAATATGTTATTTACAAGTGTGCAGAACACAAATGAACAGTTTTCGGTTTTCTATGTTTAAATGTGTCAGTTATGATGGACAGTGTTGAAAGATTTAATTGTTCAGGCTGAATATAGCCTGCGGGTAACACTGTTCTTGTGTCTGGCTGTCCTGCTGCTCAGTGCTCTGTAGCGCCGGCCAGAAGACAACAGTTGGAGGAGAGAGTGGGCTGGGTGTGAGGGGTCCAAAAGTGCATGATGTTCTTCACTCTGGAGATGTGAAGATCTTGGAGGCTGGGCAGAGGGGCACCAATAATCCTCTCAGCAGTCCTGACTGTCCGCTGTAGTCTCTTGATGTCTGATTTGGTAGCTGAACCAAACCAGACAGTCCTTGTCCAACTACTCTATCTTGTCTACGCTGTCCTCTCCCTGGTCCAACCAGTCCTTTTCCTCATCCAACTCTCCCTCCTCCAGACAGTTTCTGCTTCTCTGTGTGGTTCTGTATTGTTTTGAACAGAGAGTGCGCATGGCCATGTAATGGAAAGACTTGGAATTATTCATTAAGATTGAAATCAGCTATTTCTCAATGATTAGTCGGTGAGAAAGTCATTATGTATGAAGAAGAAATGTGTGCACACAGACCTCCAGCTGGAACCTACATACATTTTAATAATCAATCATTTGCTTTTATACTCTGTTTGTGATCATGAACAACAACAACAACAACAACAAAAATGATCCCACAGCCTGTTTCACAGTTGAAATAATAAATGTAAAGAAACATAATATGGTCGATTTAAGGAAGCGCTAATTAAAATATTTCTAAAATGCTTTTGATGTTTTCTTGTGATGTGTAAACACATCTTAATCAAACATCATTAGCTCCTGCCATCCAATAATCACAATAATCTTTGTTAATTTTGATATGAAACAAATGATCCATCAGTGTTTCAGCTGCGGAAACAATGCCATGTAACGTCACATCCACCTCAGACAAGACATTCGATGTCCGTAAACTCAATAGTTAGAAAGAAAAAAATAAATCTAGAAAGGAGCATTCTGATAAATATACGCACTATATTTTTACTGAACCTGTTCTTCAATATTTAACGTACATTTGAATAATTGCACCATTAAGTCAAGTTATGACATCCAAAGTGGAGCAGAAACATAATTATATCATTAAAAAGTTATTATAAGACATTTTTATTGTATAATACTTTTTTTTTATAAAACTGCCTTGTGTTGCACCAACTAACAAGCTTTACCGTGCCGTTTACAGCATTAGTTGAGAGAGATTTTGTTTTCCTTGAAATAAATTGACATGAACTGAACCTGACTGCCTGAACTGAATACTCATTAACATTACAACCAGGTTAGCCCTCTGTTTTCATGAGATCTCCTCCTGTGCAAGACAAACAAAGGACAGCAGCACATCACATTGCAGAGCGTGTCAACATACATGTCCAAAACACTAGGCATCACACTGGTTCCAGCATTCATGATACTACATGTTACTACATTATTTGTTTATTAGTGTATTGGTTTACATAGCCACTGATCCAGTAACTCTCCTCCATTATGAACAGCACTCACACACACACTCACTCACTCTCTCACACAAACTCTCACTCTCTCACACTACACACACAGCACTCACACACACACACACACACACAAAGCACTCACACACACACACACACACACACATACACTCACTCACTCTCTCACACATACACACACACACACACACACACACACACACACACAGACACTCACACACACACACACAC